TATTACTATTACTACTACTACTACTATTACTATTACTACTTTGAATCTGCCCACTTTCTTCTCCTTTTCCAGAAGGGTTTGATGCTCCTCTGGCTTGTGTGGCCCTTGGGGGCCCCTGATGCCACATGGCACAGTCACTCCCTGCGACCCCCAGATCTGAGGTTCCCCTGTCGTCCTCTAAGCCATGCTTCCCAACCCCGGCCACTTTAAAATAGCTGATTTGAGGACACGGATCACGGCTAATCATGGCTAGCCGAGGCTGTGCGGGGAGCTGCTTCTTGGCGACGCTCATAGTTTGGGTTGATGTTTTCTGACCGCCGTGTTATTTTAACTTTTCCAGCGTGTATAATCATCGTTTTTATTCTATTCCAACTCTTCTTCGCTGCCCAAAGCCTTGCTGAGAGGGGCACCGTATCAGTTGGATAAATAAATAACATTAATCACCTGGTGGGTTATGAATTGATCTAATTTGGCCTTTCCTGGCTGGCCTCCTCATTCATCCGGGGAGGGGAGGGGGGTGTCCAACCTTGGCTGCTTTAAGACTCGTCAATTTCAACTCCCAGAATTCTGGAAGTTGAAGTCCACCCATCTTAAAAGTTGCCAGGTATGCAAAAATTGTGCCTTTAGAATGGAATAGAATAGAATAGAATAGAATAGAATAGAATAGAATAGAATAGAATAGAAAATAGAAAATAATAATAGAATAGAATATAGAATAGAAAATAGGGAATAGAATAGAATAGAATAGAATAGAATAGAATGTGGAATGGAATAGAATAGAATATGGAATGGAATGTGGAATAGAATAGAATAGAATAGAATAGAATGTGGAATGGAATGTGGAATAGAATAGAATAGAATAGAATATGGAATGGAATAGAATAGAATATGGAATGGAATGTGGAATGGAATAGATTGTGGAATAGAATAGAATAGAATAGAATAGAATAGAATAGAATAGAATAGAATAGAATAGAATAGAATAGAATAGAAAGGGACCTTGGAGGTCTTCTAGTCCAGCCCCCTGCTCAAGCAGGAGAACCTATACCATCTCAGACAAGTGATTGTCTAGTGTCTTCATAAAAACCTCCAGTGATGGAGCGCCCACAATTTCTGGTGTCCAGCTGTTCCACTGGTTGATTGTCCTCACGGTTAGGAAGTTTCTCCTTAATTCCAGGTTGCTTCTCTCTTTGGCCAGTTTCCAACCATGCCTTCTCGTCCTTCCCTCTGATGCTTTGGAGAATAACGTGACCCCCTCTTCTTTGTGTCAGCCCCCCAAATATTGGAAGACTGCTATCGTGTCTCCCCTATTCCTCCTTTTCTCTAGACTAGCCAGGCCCAAGTCCCGCAACAGCCCTGCTTTAGAGGGCTTTGCAAGCAGTGGAAAAGCAAACGGGCCCACGTGCTGAAAACCCTCTTCCTGGGACAGGGGGGAGGGGGGGTCTGAGCAACCCCCTGCCCAGAGCCTCAAGCTGGACCAAGCAGCCCCTCCCTCCCCTTTGTCTGCCCAGGGACCATCCTGCCCTTTGCAGCTGCAAAAGGGCACCGGAGGCAGATCCCATCCTAAAAGCTCTGGACATCTCCAACCTGTGGAGTCTGTGGGCAACGGAAGAGAGAGACACACCCCCCCCAATCTGATGGGGCTGCGAAGGACCCCCCCCCTCTGGCATCCTGGAAGAGCGAGCTGGGCGGCGTATAAAATTTAATAAAAATGAGGGAGCGGTTGAATCAGAACGGCGCTGTCATCCCGGCGACACTGGGGAAGCAGCCTTCAAAAATAGAAATATTTCTTTCTCCTCCTATCGATTTTCCTTCTGCTTCTCTGCAGATCTCTTTCTTCGCTCCTTAATGGCCAGCTATGGGTCAAGCAGCAAAAGTGAAATCAAATCGTGTTTTTTTGGGTTTTTTTCTTCTCCCCTTTTCAGCGTTGATTTCAGGCCCTGAGAAATGGTGACATTAAGTAAAAGTGTCAGGAGGTTAAGTAATCCCCACGCTGCTGCTCCAGCCTCCGAGGCAGCGCGGAAGAGACAGACGGTAGGAAGCAGGGCCCGATGGCTCAATTCCCCTTGAAATTGGTGGGGTGGGATGGCCGAGGGTCCTCTGAGTAGCCCCAAGGAGCTGGCCGGGGGCTTAGAAGCTGCAGCCAGTTTTAGGGCAAATTTCCGCTTTTTAGTAATAGTAATAAAGTTGGAAGGGACCTTGGAGGTCATCCAGTCCAACCCCCTGCTCAGGCAGGAAACCCTATAGTACCATTTCAGACAAACGGCTGTCCAGTTTCTTCTTAAACACTTCCAGTGTTGGCGCATTCACCGCTTCTGGAGGCAGGTAGTTCCACTGGTTAATTGTTCTGACTGTCAGGAAATTTCTCCTTAGTTCCAGGTTGCTTCTCTCCTTGATTAGTTTCCATCCGTTGCTTCTTGTTCTGCCTTCAGGTGCTTTGGAGAACAGGTGGACCCCCCCCCTCTTCTTTGGGGCAGCCCCTGAGATATTGGAAGACTGCTATCATGCCCCCCCTCGTCCTTCTCTTTGTTAAACTAGACAGACCCAATTCCAGCAGCCGTTCCTTATATGCTTTAGCCTCCAGTCCCCTAATTGTTGGAGCATTCACCGCTTCTGGAGGCAGGTTGTTCCAC